TTTGATACAGAATAAAGAACAGCCATTCAACAATAATATAATAATGTTTTGCATTTTTATGTGTATACAAGTGTAGTTTGTATAGCGTATACTAATATACACATATCAAAAAAGTAATTCAGAAAATTGTATGTGAGCTCATTTTTATGACTTACTAGTCTCTTGTTATTTTGAGACCATACAGTAAATCGAATCGAAAAGATTATTTTCGCTTTCTAAAGTCGAGGTTTAACAAGAAGCATTGAAAACTGTAGTAATTATTTTCATTAGGTATTTTTATTATTTTATATAACATGTCGCAAAAACGTTAAAGACGTTTCACTCGCTCCCATGAAATGTACAATATTGATACTTCAAAGAACACTTACGATGATATAGTTACCCTTCCAAATCCTGACAATTCTGGTTCTGATGGATCAGATTTCGATACCGATTCGGATGATGAAATTTCAAATATAACGTACACAGAAGCTTGTAAAACATATTCTGAAACTCAAACTAAATTAGAAAGAACGCATGAACTCCAGTGGATGGAAGGAGAAAAAAAGTATAATGATAATTTGAAAGACAAAATTTTATTGAAAGACTCGGTAAAAAATAAAATACAAGAAATGGAGCCAGTAGAACTGTTTGAAACATTTTTCTCAACTGAAATGAAGCAATATATTATAGATGCTTGCAAAGAAACTAATTTTGATTTAAAGTTAAAAGACTTAAATACATTTGTGGGAATAATCATTTTGACTTCATTCAACAAAAGGGAATCTCAGAGGGATTACTGGTCACGTGATCCCTTTTTATCTTGTAACGTTGTTTCTTCTGCTATGTCACGTAATAAGTTTGAAGAGATCAAATCAAAATTAAAATATTCACAAACGAAAGATAAAAATCCAACTGACTATGCTTGGCGTGTCCGTTCACTATTAAACCTATTTGAAATTAATATTATGAAGTTCGGTGTGTGGAGAACTGCTCTTTCCATCGATAAAATGATGGCTAAGTCTTATGCGAGGACGGTTCTAAAACAATTCATTCGAGGAAAACCAATACGATTTAGTCTCAAATTCTGGGGTCTTTGTACTTCCGATGCTTTTGTATTAGGTCTTGACTTATACTGCGGAAAAAATTCTACAACGGGAAGTAAATTTAGTAAGTGTGCATTAGGTTCTCGCGTTGTCATGAGTTTACTAGAAAAGTTTTTTCGTGTTATACCTCCGGGCAAAATATCTATGTTCCATCTTTATATTAATAATTATTTCACAAGCTTAGATCTCGCTATACATTTGAAGAAGCTTGGGCTAAAATGTACAGGTACTATTAGAGAAGATAAAGTCAAAGATAAAAATGTTCTAAATAAAAAAGCTCAAAGAGGTGAGTATGCCGTGAAGCACGATAAGAACAGTGGTATAAATTACATCACTGTGCTGGATTCAAAACCCGTTTCGATTATTTCTACTGCTGCAGGTGTAACTCCATTATCCTTTTCAAAGAGATACAGTAAGCAAGAAGGAAAAAAAGTTGAAATACCTTTTCCGAGGGCTATTAGCGTCTATAACAGTTTTATGGGTGGCAATGATGTCCACGACGGACATTGTAACAATTTACTTCCGAGTATTCGTTTAAAAAAGTGGACGTGGGTAGTTTTTTTAAGACTAATTCAAGCTTCGATTGTAAATGCTACTGTACTATTGAATGCTGTCAATGATGAGAAAAAAAGGGTTGGAACAAAAGATTTTGCACTTTTAATAGCTAAAAATACATGACGCAGAGACAATGCAAAAAAGAGAAACACAATATGTCCAAACAAACAAAACTCAAACTTTGTTCTTATTGTCCCGTAAGAACGAGAATTATCTGTGAAAAATGTGATTTATCGATTTGTGTTGAATGTTTCAAAAAAAACACTGAAAAATTCGTATTGTAGTGAGAGGCAAGGGGACTCACTCAAATCAAGCACCCCAAAGGAGACAAAATTCTACTACGTCCTCGTCGTTATCTCTGAGTCATGCTAAGAGTAGAACGTTTTTTATCTCGAAAACTATTGAGTTTGGAGAAAAAGTTTATGGAACAAAAAGTCTTAGAATTTATCAAGGAACACGCATGAATTTTTGCAGAATTTTTGGAGATGATTTTGGAAAAATGGATTTTCCGTATTCTCCGAAAATTCAAAAATCGCCTCGGAAAATTCTGAAAAAATTCAGGCGTATTTTTCGTTTAATTCCAAGACTTTTTTGTTCAATGAACTTTTTATCTAAACTTAATGGTTTCCGAGATAAAAAATGAGAAATGTTTTTTATGGATTTTTTTTTTATTTTGCCACCATTTTGTTGGAAGAAGTGATTCAAAAATTCCACCAAAATTCCTGGAAATACTTTGATAGTCGTGATCACCTCTGATCATATTTGTTTGATGATTTTTTAGCGGTAACATTGCTAAAAAAAATCGCTAACTTTTTTGTAACGCAATCAATCGCAATTTTGAAAAAAAATGTTGTAAGAGCGTTAAATTTTCCATCCAAATACGTGTTTGCAAAAATTTCTTAGGCCTATGACTACCGAAAAAAACGCGTTAAAAATCGACAAAAAAATTGAGCATTTTGGTCGTTAATGGGTTAAATCATATATTAGTTCGTTGATTGAAATTTTTTCAATACCTTTTTAAAGGATTACAACGTGCCATGATCGCTCGAACCGATAAGTGCTTGACTAAATATGATGAAGCATCGATTTTGACACGCATTTTATACATTTACCCCTTTCCATTCTTTCATATATGTTAACAGTATTAGTATTGATAATTAATAATTATCTATTTATATTAGTAACAGCGCGATAATCAAAATTCGTTCACACATCTATGTCCAATCAAGAGTCTTTATGGATGCGGTTAAGTTCTTTTTATATGCTACAAGAACTCTAGCTCCGAGCGAATATAGTTAAGTCTCTTTAAAATGAATGCGGCTAAGTTCTTTTTATATGCTGCAAGAACTCTAGCTCCGAGCGAATATAGTTAAGTCCCTTTAAATGAGCTGACGCTAGATGACTTATACTATAGCCTTTCTTTCCAACGTGCACACGGCTAAGTTTCATTTCTCTCTCTCTCTCTCTCTCTCTCTCTCTCTCTGCTATCGACAATTAGTCTCTACAGCATACAAAACAGATAAACAACTTACAAGGGAACCACCCCAACCCTCCGCCTCCGATTTTTCTGCAATTGAGATATGTTATAGTTCGTAAAAAAATAAAAGACTTATATTTTTTTTATCGGCGGAAAAAGCTATCTAAGGGATGAAACCCACCCTCAAAAAACAGCCCCAAAAGCAGTTCTATAGCAATATCTTGTATATCGGTTGTAATAAATATTTTTTTATGAAACAAAAAAACACAAGATACTTATAAAAAAAGTAACAGACACACATCAATTTGGCCCCCGGGGGTTGCAACTCCTACGTTGTATAGAGGAAAAACTGTATTTTTAAGTGTATTTTTACCTTACAAAATCAAAAAATTATGTTAAAAAAATTTAAAAAATGATATTCTAGTAGAAAATGATAAAACAAAATTGACATGTTTCGGGATTTTCCTATTATCTATTATTTCGAGGGTGAACTACACCTTAATGTTATTAATACAATATAAGCAGTAGTTAATCGCAGATTATGCTGGTTATTTCATGTTCTATGACTCTCAAAAAAGTCAAATACATGTATACTTTTGTTCTGCCGAATAAACTATTTAGAGGGTGGAAGCTACCCCCGAAAGTTACCCCTCAGCACCATTTTATAGCGAAATTTTCATATTTTATGCACAGTTTTCGACGAAACAGACTGTGATATTTGTATCACTTATAAATAAAATAATTCGAACTCTCGTAAACTAGCTAATGAGTAAGAATTTGTTTCCGATGATTTTACTCTAATTGTCAAGAGAATAGATAATGAATCAAATATAATAAATAAGTAAATCAAATATACATAAGTAATTGCAATATATCGAGGAAAGTCAGACAATGCCCTAGTTTCTTATGGTGCGAATTGTCCCATAAGCAGAGCTAAAGTCTTTCTTTGATAGGATATAATTCGGCCCAAGTTTCTTATAGCGCGAGATGTTCTATAAGTCGAGCTCAAATTATAAGGAAAGGTTAGTCTTGCTTAGTTAATCACAATGAGAGAAAGAACTTAGGTATTAATCCAAGTTTATTCAGACTCATGCGCTCACCTTGGAAGGCTAGAAGTGAATGAATCTAGCCTGTGCAAAGGTGGGCCTATTTATACACAGATTTTCCCACTTATTATTGCAGGAGAGATTTCATCGAAAATTCGAGAGACATTCGCGAATTTTGAGAAATGATTTTTCTTAATTTACAAGTAAATAACCATTAATATTAAGTTTTTAACACATGTAAATTTTACAGAATTAGTTATTTGTTGATTTTATACAATATACAATTATCGCTTATTATTATTAATCGGATAGTGATATTTCCGAATGAATCGGAGGAGCGGATGAAAAGGCAAGCGCCATATCCATTTAGAGAGGCATCACAAAATCCGTGGATTTCGACCGAGACTGGATTATCGCATCGCAAATATCTTGGGATCTCTAGTAATTCCAAATCGGAAAGCTGGTTGGCTAATTGAATCCATCTTGTATGGATGTTTTGAGGAAGACGTTTTCGTCCCACGTAATCTTTGCCTTCCAGCAGTCCTGGATTAGAATCTTTGTATAGAGTATCAAGGGGCCTAGCAAACCTCAAGAATCGAAAATTCTCGCTATTTGTGACACGAGTTTCCTTTTGGTAGAAACCGATTGTGGATTTTCGGCGTTAACGACGAAAGAAAGGACATACCTTACTGTATCCCAAACGCATCCAAGGGTCTTTTTTACAGGGTTTCCTTGGATTCCGCAATCTAAATCGAATATTCTTTTTTCGATGTTATCTAAAGCTGAGGGATGGTTAGATGCCCATTTACGAATGACGAATCCTCCGCGACCCAAGAGTTATATCATCTCGTCGCGGATTGCTTGAATTTCTTCCAAAGAATCCGCGCCTGAGATGAAATCGTCGACGTAGAAGTCTTTACGAAGCAGCTTAGCTGCTCTTGGGAAATCGACCTCTTCGTCGGATGCCAACTGATGTAGCGTTCGAATTGCTAGGAATGGAGCACATCTTACTCAGAAAGTTACGATATTGATGATGAATGTTCGAATTTTACCTGCGTGGTACCACAAGATTTTTTGGCATTTCCTATCATCTGGATGAATCCATATCTGCCGATACATTTTCTCTATGTCCGTAGTTATAACGAAAGGATGATCACGGAAACGCAAGCTTTGTTGAGGAATGGTCGCCTGCATGGTAGGCCCAGTCAACAAGATCTTGTTGAGTGAAGTGCCATTCTCAGAGTCCGCAGATGCGTCGAACACAACCCTGCATTTCGTCGTGTCACTGGATTCTTTGATTACAGCATGATGAGGCATAAAATAGCCGTCATCGGAATCGTCATCACACAACGTCATGTGACCTAATTCCAAATAACTATTAATTTCTTTCTCATATTGAGCTCGGAAATCTGGATTAGTTTCAAACTTGCGTTCTAATGCTTTGAGTCGCTTTAAGGCTCTTTGTTTAGAAGAACCTAATTCAAATTTCTCGGCTCTAAATGGTAGCCTAACTGTATAACGCCCTGAACTATCACGAGTAGTCGTCTCAACGTAATACCTTTCACACGCTATATCCTCGTCAGCCTTGACTGGCTGATAGTCGAGGTCTTCCATAGCCATGAATCTTTCGAGTAACTGATCTAACCTCACCACGTTACAAGAAACGACCTTAGACGGTGTTATCAATCCTCCGGCTGCTATCCAACCGAAAAATGTTTTCTGAAGAATGATTTGAGAATTTTCCGATTTCAATTTGATTTGACCTACCGCGAGAGAAGGCATAGTCGGACCCGAAGCTAATAAGATATCAACGGACCTTGGCTGATGAAACTGAGGATTAGCTAGCTTAATGTTTTTTGGGATTTTAAACCCATCTCGAGGAAACGTCTCATTAGGCACCTTGCTCGCGATTTTTGGAACAATCAAAAAGTTTAATTGGAATTTAGTGTTATTGTATGTGGAATAAAAAGTGGCTTGTGTGTATTTTTCCGAAACAGTGCTCGCATCGTCAACTGCTCCGATATTCACGAAACATTGTTTTGTTGGAAGCTTTAAGTGATTGAGAAAAGTTTGAGTCATTAAGTTTGCGTTAAAACAAGAATCTAACAATGCTCGGGCCATGAGACGGTTTCCTCGATTGTCTTGAAAACTCACAACTGCAGTAGTCATGAGCTGAGAATCGGGCGAATACCCGCTGGAAAAGTAAGATTGGCAGATGCCTGGTCATAAGGATTTCGGAGAGTCCGTTTCCTTAGACGATTGTGAGTTGACTTCTGTGGAGTCCTTCGAATTCTTGTGAGGATGAAGGAGCGTATGATGAGCTTTGTTGCACCCCTTTTCCTTACATCTATTTTTACTAGTGCAAGGAACAGGATGAACATATAAGCAATTACGACACAACTTATGGGTGTTGACAAGCTTCCACTTAGCCTTTAGCTCAGCGGCCTTAAATGCATCGCAAGCGTAAAGCCTGTGGGGTTGACCACACTGAAGACACGAGTCGATGGATGAGGAAGACGAAGTAAGGAGAGAACGAGCGGCAGTCTTGGTTACCTTCGATGGATAAGCTGCGTTGCTATTTGCTGCTCTCTTTGCGGCATTTTTCCTAGAAGGCAGCTCGTCCATCTCGCGCTGCTTGAATACGGAATCCTGAACGAACTCGCACAATTTCGAGAACTCGGACAGCTTATTGCTCGATTGTCGATCGACCCATCGTGACAAGATTCCCGCGGGCAGACATCTCTCGAGAATACGAGCTACGAGTTGTTCACCTATGTTGATCTCCATTGCTTCCAACATACTAACGTGCTGGCGAACCGTGTACATTAATTCGGCGGTTGTTTCAGCAGTAGATTTCGCGTGAGGGGACAAATTCAAGAGAGCATCGAGGTGATCGTTGGCGATCACTCGTCGCTGGTCATAAGCGTTGCATAAATCTGTCCACGCTAAGGGATAATTCTCGTCGGTAGCCTCGTACCGACTGATGACCTTTTGAGCTAAGCCTGAGACTGACGATTGTAATTGAGATAATTTAACGCTAGGCGCCATCCCAGGACGTTCGTGGATCAGTGCTTTGAAACGTGATTTCCACGAAACCCAATTTTTGGAACTGCCGTCAAAATTGGGAACTTGAATCGCCGCGATTTTGGCTACGGTAGTTTTCTCGGCAAACGAGAACGACGAGTTTAGCGCCGTGGAATTCGCGAGCGGATTGGGTGCGGCGTTTTTATTCAATTTGTTAACTTCCGCCGCGACCGTGTAATATTTGATGTCGAGATCGATGAACTTGGCAGTGTTCGGATGATCGGGGTCGAGTCGCTTCAACTCTTCGTGGTTTTTCGAGTACTCGGCGAAAATATATGCAAGATCCGACGCTCGCATTTCCAGGACGGTTACGTCCGGCGAACCTTGCTTAAGGATCGCGTCAAGTGTGTTAATAGAGCGTTCCAACTCGTTGAAACTTTGCTCCAATTGCATTATGCGCTGTTCAGTATCCATTTTGATTTAGTGAATTGCAGTAATTTTAATTGAGAAATGAATTTAATTTACTGCTGAACAACGCACAAGTTGCAAGTGAGATTTGTTATTTTGAACGTAAACGCTCGTCGACGCACACAGACAGTAATTTGCGTGAACGTGCGTTTAATAAACCGAGAAAGAAAAGGTGACTTATCTTTTATTCGCCTGAATGGGGTAGACGGCTGGGTGCAAGTCCCCCCTGGTCGGAAGCAATGGCGAAGCTCGTCGATGTTACTACACTCGTTGTCCAGTGATGGGCTGTCAGCGAGCGCTGCTACACGCGTGCACTGCAATCCTTTAGCGCTGTTGCCCGCGTGTGCCGCAGAGAGTCTGTCGGCGCTGTTGTAGCTGTCGTTCGCGCGCGTTGGGCGGAGCCTGTCGGCGCTGTTGTGCGCGTTGGCCGCAGAGCGTCTGTCGGCGCTGTTGCGGCTGTCGTTGGCGCGCGTGGTATGGGCGGATGTCAGAGAGAGAAGGCGAAATGGCGCGAAACACTGATATCGCGCGTGAATTCTCGCGCGCTTTCTCTCGCACACACTCACACTTGCATTCGCGCGACGTCACCTTCGACGAATTTGATTAGAGGCAGAATTTCTACCTCACAGGAGGCACCATGTATTGTTGTGACCTTTTATTATAGTATAAAGAAGTCTAGTTTATAAGAGAATGGGAAATGATTTTAATTTATTTGTTATTTAGTTTTTAGTTAATACGAATGTCTGAAACTGCGTGATTAGTAATCACCGCTCGCGGCATCATTCGTATGGTTTTAATTGATTTTACACTGATTCTAATTAATTAATAGGTTAACAAAATGAAACACTGATTTGAGGGAAAAAAGCCGTGAGGCATAAAAAAACCCTTTTTATTTACACTCGAGAAAATTACAAGATAGGAAAGTTGAGAGAACTCGCGAAAATGACGTCGCACCGAGAACAATAGCCGCTGCTACGCACGCACGCACGTGTCACACACACACAATGATTTGATGCTTGTTTTAGTGAAAACAAGGATAGATGATAGATGATGATGAATCACTTTCGTGATGATCGGAAGCCCGTTCAACTTCCGAACGATGTTAGTTTTGCATAGTGATGCAAAGATATAGATGTTATCGCGGGAAGTGTCTCGAGAACGCGGAGGAGCTCCGTACGTGACGCTAAGTAGTCGACTACTGCCGGCTTGGCCGGAAGAAGAGAGTCGTTTCGACTCGAGCGGCGCCGCACCGGTAGGTGCTGCCACCGCGCTAGGATTAGGGGCCCTAGTGCCCGATACTCACACACACGCACACACATGTCTACGCGCGCGAGTATTAGTAATTATGTACATGGTAGTGTCGCGACGCTACATACGGGCCTTCGTATAAGTTTAAGAATTTTTTAATAATTTCTTCTTCTTTATTACTTATATTTTGACTCCGTAATAATACATAATCATTAACTTTATATTGATAATGATGTATATTTTTATTGAAATTATTTGCACGTTTTATAAGTTTATTGTGCATTTTTTTCTTGATATCTTCTACTTGATTATAATTTGTAGGTACCTTTGTTTTGGTGTCAGGTATCCACCGATGCCAAAATCTATCTGGTCTTATATGTAAATGAGCTTCTATAGGAGTTGTTTCAATTGTTTCATGATATACATAATTCATTATTTGTTGTATTTTGGGAATTAAAGGAGCCCAACCTTTATGATTGTCGTTAGCATTTGCTCTTAAAAATCTTCCCAGTTCTCTATGTATTCTTTCTACGATATTGCTTTGTGGATGTCGAATACTAGAAAATACTAATTTTATGTTATTAGCTAAAAGCTTTTCTTTCCATGCTTTAGCTGTGAACTGTGTTCCATGATCACATATGATTGCTGATGGTTTACCATAATATGCTATATAATGTTCAAATATCTTTTTAATAGTAGTATATGTAGTTGATCTTTTTATAGGATGCATAACTACAAATTTACTAAAGCAATCTATTGTGGTTAAAATGTATTTAACCCCTCCTCGTGAAGTTGGCAATGGTCCATAAAAATCTATAGACAATAGATCATTTGGTTTTTCAACTAATATAGGCTGCATTATGGATGATATCTTCTTCGTATAATATTTTGTACGTTGACAGAGATCGCAGCGATTTATAGTTTTAGCTACTTTTTTGCGAAGCTTGTAAATATAAAAATTTTCCTGTAACATTTTTGTAATTTTTCTTTTTCCAATATGATCATATACTTCATGTATTTCTTAGATCAATTCTTGAATAATTATTTCTGGCAGTAATAATTTGTTGTTAATTTTATCTTTTTTATATACTAAATTGTTATAAATATATCTATGATGAAAATTTTCCTTATTCCTTAAGTTTTGTATAAAACCATCATTTTGTTGTAATGATTCCATATTCTTGAAACATTTCATTAAATCTCGTGAAGGTTTTTTCATCAATATAGCAAGCTGAATTTCATCTGTATAATTATTACTGCAGTCTGTAATATGTCTAGATAGGAAATCAGCGGCTTTATTCTTATTTCCTGGTAAATACTCATACGTAATGTTGTAGTCTTGAAGAAACAAGCACCACCTCACTAATCTCGCATTTGTAAATTTACAAGTTGTTAAGAATTTCAACGCTTCGTGATCAGTACGAATAATTATCTCTTTCGCACCTCTTAGATACGTTTCTAATTTTAAACATGACCAAGCTACAACTAATAATTCTTTTTCAGTTGTAAAGTAATTTAATTCTGCTCCTTTTAGAGTTCTAGATATAAATGTTATAACTTCTTCATCACCTTCATTATTTAATTGTGACAAAGCAGCGGCTATAGTATGATAACTGGCATCAGTAGTTAATATGTAAGGTTTATTAGGATTAGGAAATTTTAAAATGATTGTATCAATAAATATTTTTTTCACGTTATTAAAAGCTGTTTCATGCTCAGGTAACCATTGATAGCCTTTACTTTGTTGCAATAAATTCATTAAAGGTCTACATATTTCAGCATAATTTTTTGCAAATTTTGTATAGAAATTAACAAAACCAAGAAAGCTTTGCAAGCTTTTCAAATTTTTTGGAGCTTTATAATTTTGAATTATTTCTAATTTGCTTTTTTGAGCTTTTATACCTTGTGGAGTTATAATATGTCCCAAAAATTCAATTTCTTCTTGAACTAATTTAGACTTTGAAAATTTCAATGTATAATTATCTCTTCGACAACATGTAAATAATGTTCGTAAATGATAAATATGTTCATTGAAGGTTTTAGAAATGCATAGTATATCATCCACAAATGGTATAATGAATTGTTTTAAATCGCCAATTGACAAATTTAAAGCTCTCACTAAAGCTGCTGTACTAGTACATGTATCGAAAGGAACTACATTAAATTCGTAGGTATTGCCCTCGATAATAAATGCTGTATATTTTTTACTTTCTTCATCGAGAGGAATCTGCCAAAAACTACTTGTCAAATCAAAACTAGAAATAAACTTTACTCCGAAACAATGTTGAAAAATATCATCCATATGTAGTGGGGCTTCATAATCTTTAACTAATTTTTTATTTAATTTTCGAGCATCTAAACAAAATCGCACTGATCCGTCTTTTTTAATGCTTATAACAATTGGATTAATATAATTACTAATCGATCGACGAATAACGCCATCTCTTAGCATTTCTTTGATTGCAATTCGAACATTTTCTCGATAATTTAACGGTATAGGATACTGTTTTGAAAAATATGGCTCTTTATCTTTTAAAATCAATTTATGGGTATATACTTTCAATAAACCTTTTTTTTTACGAAATACATCTTTAAACTCGTACACAAGCGAAGCTATCTCATTTTTTTGAGCATCGGTAAGGTTAGAGCTTTCATCAACTTTCTCATCAATTTCCCCTCGAGTTAGATTTTCAGAATCATCATTTGTGATGCCTGCATCTATTTCATTACGAGTTAGATCAATGAGTGATGGTATGTCATCCCCAAAATCCGAAACAGTATCATACTGAATAGTTAAGCTTTGATATGTACTTTCATCTATAAATGCATCGTTATATTTCATGTTTTCCAAAGTATTATTAATTTCAAAATAAATTTGCACTTTAAATGTGTCAAGTTTGAGCTTTATATTTTTCATAGTATCATAACCGATAATACAATCTTTTATTAATCTAGGAATAATTATGAAGATAATATCAATGTATTGACTACCCCATTTTACATTCAAATAAATTTGCTTTTTCAATCTCACCGATTTTTGGCCTGTAGCTACCTTAATAACGTGTCCACTAATCGGAAGAGTAGGTTTATCTTTAAAATTACTTAAGTTTTGATTATAAAATTCTTCTGAAATAGCAGAAACTTCACTACCCGAATCAAGTAGAGCTTTTACTGGAATGTTTTCTAATAAATGAAATATTTCAGGACAAATTCTGCCCCCATTGCTATTATCGTTATTTGATAATTCACCGTTAATTTCACGTCTAGGATCTTCAAAAATAGTTAATAATTCTTTTGATAATAAATCGTTACTTGATTTTATTGTTGCAACTCGTTGCAAGCTTTTGCATTTATCCGATTTCCGAGAAGCAACATTTACTCGTTTCCCGAGGAAGTACTAGGTACATCTTGTAAAATCGGTTTTGCAATATTCTTATTTTTATTTGCTTTATTATTCTTATTATTCGACTTACTATTTTCAATTGTTATGCTATTAATTTGTTGTTCCCCGCCGCTATCTTTTTGAGCATGACGTGAACTAATATAATCATCATTATCCAAAGAAGATAAAACTTTAATAAATTCTGATATCTTTTTTATATGTCTAGCTTGAACTAATAAACGCACATCTCTATCAAAATGTCGAGATAATTTATCTATTAATTCTTCTTCATCTAGATTTTCATTTATATCAAAAGCTAAATTAATTTTACGTATAGCATAATTATAACGTGATAATTTTCCACCAAAATATTTTC